CGGCCGACTTTCTCGTTCGGGGACCTTATGGCAGACCTGAACAAGCCGAAGGAGACGACTCCTGCTCAGCCGTCCGAACCCAAGTCGCCCGAGACGGAAGAAGAACGGCAGAGGCGCCTTCGTAAGGAGGCTCGACGCCGGCTGCGGGTCACCTGGAAGCCTGACGAGTCGCTAACTGAAGTCCGGCTCTTCACCCATGACCCTGACGAGGAGCTTGGTCCCGGCGATCGCATGCAGCGTGAAGCGGGTGATGTGAAGGGTGAAGGTAGTGTGCTGAAGCTTCACCGCGATCTCGACGAGGAGGAAGACGAAGAAGGCGGCTTTCGCGAGGAACAGTTGCTCGAATACCTTCTGCCGTCCGGTAAGTCTCACTGAAGATGCTCGGGTGTCGGCCTTTGGGGTCACTGACAATCCTTTAGAAATCGACTTCGAGGACATGCCTTACGAGGAACGTGGCCGGAACTTCATCAAGCGTGGTGGTATTGAAGTTCCGGAAAGTGCGGAGAGGAAGGCTCAAGAGTATCGTGAGGCAACGACCCTTATGGTGTTCTATACTTCGCCTGCGGACGTGCCGTCAACGCCCAAAGAGCCCCCGCCACCCGACAATGAAGAACCCACAACTGTCGCGGTCTCCTTTGGCGAGGTTCCGGACCATGTCAAGGTGCGTATCCCGTTTTTGTATGTCGCACGAACCGACTGCGTGCTCACAATATGTCCGCAGGCCCGTCAAAACCGATATATCGCAGCGGTCAAACCTCAGCCGCCACCTGCAGCCGCGCCCGCAGCAAGCGCCCAAGCGCCATTCGATATTTCGAATCTTTTGAAGATTATTCAGAGTGCGCCCCAACAACCAAAATCAACCCCTCCCCCCCAGACTCAGCCGGCAGCCGCGCCCATCTCGGATCTCGAACGGACGTTCAGCATGTTCTGTCAGCCGCAGCCGCAGCCGCAGCCGCAGCCACAGCCAACCTCTCAGCCTCCCATGTTGCAGATGCCCCAGTTTCCTGCCGCTCCTCAGCCTGCAACAGGCCAGGCCATTGATCTCCAAAATATCCTGGCCATCATGAATGCACAAAAGCAGATGCAGCCGGCGGCTACTGCCCCGCAAGCTCCACCGTCTCAACCCAGCATTGCGCCCAACCTCGCTGCCATTTTCTCCCAGATAAATGGCCAGAACCAGCCCACCGCAGGCAACCCGCCTCAACACACTGGGCATTTTGAGGACCCGGAGCGCAAGCGCCTTCGCGAGTCTGGTGGATATGATGGGACCGATGATGACAGGTACAGCTATCCCAAGCGGAACAGGTATAATGATCTTGGCAAGAAGCACGTAAGTATCTCTCGGTAAATCCAATCATCATGCAGGCAACGAGCTAACTGGCAGATAGCCCAAGGCAGGATCTGTACCTTGCCGGTATTGGCAGAGCGGGAAATGCCGCAAAGGTGATGATTGCACATATCGCCACGATCCGTTGATTTAAACGTAATATTGTTCTCCCCCTCTTCATCTTCTGATACCCTCTGCCGACGCCTTCTTTTTGCTTCTTTCCTTTTCGTACATCATTGTATTTGCTCGGCAGACACCAAAAAAAAACACCTACTCTTTTAAAATGTACACTGTACCCTTGCATATGCCTCTGCTGCTGTCAATTTTCGGCGTCATTATGTCTGGCAAGCTGGTTTTCCTTGCAACCATCTGTGTGTTGATGACATGATACCATAGTTACCTCTGTGATTGCATATCATGCATGGGATTCGCACGGAGTTTGTTGATTGTGGATGAGGTTCTTTCGTGGTTTACTTCTTCGTTTTCTCTTTATTCTTCATCACTATCCATCCTACCTTTTCTTCGGATCGTTCACATTGCTCGGCTGGGGTATGGCCATATCTTGTTGTATGGTTTTCACCAGATCGATATGTATATTACTGATGTTTAGCTGGAAGATTATCAATATGAGGCCAGCTTCGATCCGACGAAATCGGTGTGTCAGAGCTTGCGCCTGGGCTTCTCCCTTCTTACATGTTTTCAATCAATATCATCATGGCTACTCCGGTCAAATTTCTCAAGGCGCAATTCAGTAGTGTAACCTCTTTGAGGTTATCGGCTTAGGTAATACACTAACACTTAAACGATCAGTCAAATGCTTTTGATCTGTATGTAGCTGTATCAACTGCGTACCCAGTAGTCTCCAAACCTCCCGTCTCCATCATCCACCTCTATCTCAATTCTCAAACCTGCACCAGAAACGCAATTCGACCACTGCACCCAATCCCGATAATGACCCACCCGTTCACCCACCTAATCACCGTCTGCTGCCACGCCATATACAAGGGTGGTCCAACCCATGGCCTCTCCGAGGACGAATGGTCAGTGCTGTATCCTACTTCTGAACTTCTGTTTGACTACTCGTGCCAGGAACCCAGCTCCGGATATTGACACTGTTGAAGGGAAATCGAACCCTTCCAGAAAGGCGAAACGCCCACGTTCACCGCACACGTCAAGGCGGGCCTCCGTCTCGCAGCCCAGGATCCGGACAGCCTGCTTGTGTTCTCGGGGTATGTCTACCCACACCCCCGCTATCTCTAGCATGATCTCCCCCGCCGGGGAGTGCCCTCGATCCGGGCTAGTTGGTCTCCAAGAGAAGAGGGCACATACGGGATGCAAACTGATCGGGAACGATGGGGTGCACATATACAGGGGCCCTACGAAACCGACCCGCACGCCTCTAGCGGAAGGGGAATCGTATCTTGTAAGTTCCTGCCTAGCTTATAGCACACAGTACCCGTCTATCTATTTCGTGTTAGGCGCAGTATCTACCTAACCGTGAGTGTGGACTACACTCACCCACAATTCTATCAAAAACGATATTCTCGGAGACAACGAGCATGGACCGATGAACCCTCCCCCCAATCCCCCCAACACAGTCTCACGCAAAGCAAGCCCCAATTGTCACTCACATATACATACTCATAACCCAACTAGAACCTGGCCCGCGCCAACAACTACTTCCAATTCGCCCCACCTATCGACCCCACTCGGCTCGTCGCCGAGAACCGCGCCACCGACTCCTACCAGAATGTCCTGTTCTCACTGCTCCGGTTCCGGGCGGTGGCTGGCAGATACCCGACGCGGGTGACGGTGGTGACGCATGCGTTCAAGCGGGCGCGGTTCGCGGAGGTGCACTTTCCGGCTGTCGGGCTGGGAGGGGCCGAGTCGAGGGTCGAGGTCGAGGTCGTGGGCATCAATCCGCCGGAGGTGGTGACGCCGTTACGGGAGTTGGTGGCGGGGGAGGAGGAGAGGGGGATTGGGGTGTGGAGGGGGGATAGGTATGGGGTTGGGCGGGTGTTAGGGAGGAAGAGGGCGGCGAGGGGGTGGACGGTGGGGATGGAGGAGGGGGTTCTGAGGGATGTCGATGGGTTGGAGGGGGTGGTCGAGGCGTTGGTTCGGTGGAAGGGAGGGAGGAGTGGGAATGAGTGGTTCGACGGGTTGAAGGAATTGCCTTGGTACGGTTAGCGACAGTAGGTACTAGGTAGCTGAACGAGTGCCTTGGCTCATTAAAGTCGTTCATTGTGTGCGATTTTGGAAAGAATACATGGGCTGGATTTATGAAGGTCCCCGAAATGTCAAATGTCCCAGATGCTGCTCCGCCTTCCTCTCATTCCACAACGCCAGTTGAAAAGAAGAAACAAAAGAAAAACATAGATATTCAATCAATCAATCCGCCAGGCGATAGCTGACCAGAGTCTCGACTCGGTGGTTGTTCGTGCTGAAGCTCCGGAGTTGAACCTTCTCGGCGTTCTTGATCTCTTTCGCGTCGCTGTCGCCCCATTCGACGGGGACCTCGGAGTCGGCGTCCGCGTACACCAGAACATTGAAGGTGCAGTATCCGTTCAGCACGGGCAGGAAGGTCACGGAGGCGGTGATTTGCCGGAAGATCGCCTGGATTTCCTCCTGAATCTCCTTCTCCGTCTTCTCCACGCTGGCGGGTTGGGGTTCCTTGTCGCTGTTGTGGGGGTGTTGGTTAGCTTGTGTGGTTTCGAGAGAAGAATGTAGTCTGTACCCTGGGGTAGCATTTTCTTTGTCGCCAGTCGACTTGGAAGAGTGGCTCTTGGAGTGTTTGCCGAAGATTTGGACCTGGTGCCTCCGGGTTAGTCTCCGTGTGCTTGGTGAGGGAGGACCTCAGGCGTACGTCAAACTGCCATCTCTCTACGTGCTCTCCAGTCTCCTTGTCTGTGATTACAACCACGAGTTTCGATATCTTCCCTCCCATCATCCACTTGTTCAATTGCGACATGATCTTCTTGATGTAGGCTTTGACTTGGTCGTCGGAGGTGACTGGGCTTGATCAATAGAGGGATCGAGGGCATAAACTGATGGAGATAGACCAACCGAGCATGTTGAGGCCATATTTCTTGACCCTGTAGAAAGAGTTAGAGAGCTCCTCGATGAGTTCAGGTAGAGTGCACTTACGTAGTGAAGTCTTCGGGAGGATACACGCCCCGCTGGAAACTGGTCGAAATGTCAATGGCCGATGTAGGCTGGGCCATTGTCAAACAGACACTTACAGGATAGAATTGATGGAGTATTCGAACTATGTATATTAGATACCAGAAAGCCATATCACTTGGTAAGGTACTCACGAATTCTGCGACCAACTTCGCCGATCCTATCTACCTGTGAGCGTTCTGCACCGGTCTATCTCAGGAGGCTTTGGATCGTACCTTTCAAGGACAGCTTGTGAACCTTGGATTTATCCTTTGCAGCCGACATAGTGGTATAATGCGATATGAGAAGGGACTTTGGATGCTGTGTGTTGTGGGCAAGAGCTGCAGATGCAGTGGAAAAAGTGACGGACTCATCAATGCTTTGTTTACACCATTTGTCGCCGCGGCAATTCGGTCCACCGCCCGCGCAAATCGAGCGTCTCCGCAAAAGCCGTCCTTTTTTTCCCGCCCGCAAGATCTCGCCCTCTGACCATCCTATACTCTCCCTCCCTCCCCCACCATCACACTTCACTCCCATGCAAGTGCAGACCTCCCAATGCGAGGATGCCTGCAGTTAGCCAGGTGGCTGAGCGCAGCGCCAAAGGGTTCTGCTGCTAGCCTACTCCAGCCGCCATTCGGCCTTTCTTCCTCCGTTCGGTTTTTCGCCAACTCCGCATCACGCTCCGCCAGAGGCTCCACTGTCCATAAATCGGATCTCGAGAACAGAATCGCCGCTATACCGATCGATCGATACCGCAATTTTTGCATCGTTGCCCACGTCGACCATGGAAAGAGCACGTTGTCCGACCGGTTGCTGGAATTGACGGGTACGATCCAACCTGGGAGTAATAAGCAGGTGCTGGACAAGCTCGATGTGGAACGGGAACGTGGTATCACGGTCAAGGCGCAGACATGTACGATGATCTATAACCATGAGGGGGAGGATTACCTGCTCCATCTTGTTGATACCCCGGGCCATGTGGACTTCCGTGCGGAGGTCTCGCGCAGTTACGCCAGTTGCGGAGGCGCCTTGCTCTTGGTTGATGCCAGTCAGGGCATCCAGGCGCAAACCGTTGCCAACTTCTATCTCGCTTTCTCGCAAGGTCTGGAGTTGATCCCTGTCATCAACAAAGTGGATCTGCCCTCGGCCGAGCCCCAGCGTGCTCTGGAGCAGATGAAGCATTCTTTTGAACTGGACACGGAGAGCGCAGTGTTGGTCTCGGCTAAGACTGGCCTCAACGTGGAGCAGCTGCTTCCTACAGTTGTCGATAAGATTCCAGCGTATGCATCCCTAGCCCCTTTTCTTGCTGATGATCCGAGCTGATCTAAATAGCCCTGTCGGTGACTTCACCAAGCCCCTGCGTATGCTCCTCGTCGATTCCTGGTACGATTCCTACAAGGGTGTTATCTGCTTGGTCCGTGTGTTCGATGGCGAGATCCGAGCGGGAGATCAGCTTGTTTCTTTCGCTACGGGACTCAAGTATTACGTCGGCGAAGTCGGCATCATGTACCCGAATGAGACCCCACAGACGGTGCTCCGTGCTGGCCAAGTTGGCTACATCTACTTCAACCCGGGCATGAAGCGGAGTAAGGAAGCCAAGATTGGTGATACGTACACAAAAGTGGGATCGGAAAAGCTTGTGGAACCGCTACCGGGTTTTGAAGAACCTAAGTCGATGGTTTTCGTGGCCGCCTACCCTGTCGATGCAGATCATTTCGAGCACCTGGAGGACAGTATCAATCAGCTCATGTTGAATGACAGAAGTATTACAGTGCAGAAGGAGTCCTCGGAGGCTTTGGGTGCCGGTTTCCGCTTGGGCTTCCTGGGAACTCTTCACTGCTCTGTTTTCGAGGATCGTCTGCGCCAGGAGCACGGAGCCAGTATTATCATCACTCCCCCGTCAGTTCCCGTGAAGATCGTGTACAAGGACGGCAGAGAGGAGATCATCAGTAACCCGGCCAAGTTCCCCGACGACGAATCAGCACGCGCGAAGGTCCTGGAATTCCATGAGCCCTACGTTACGGCCACTCTGACTTTCCCGGATGAGTACCTAGGAAAGGTCATCGAACTCTGTGAAAACAACCGTGGAGAGCAGAAGAGCCTCGAGTACTTCACGTCTACTCAGGTTATTCTTAAATATGAACTTCCATTGGCGCAGTTGGTCGACGACTTCTTCGGTAAGCTCAAGGGTAACACGAAGGGCTATGCCTCTCTGGATTACGAAGAGTCGGCCTGGAGACCGAGCAGTATTGTCAAGCTGCAGCTGTTGGTCAACAAAGCCCCTGTGGATGCTGTCGCTCGCATCGTCCACTACAGCCAAGCGGATCGACTTGGTCGTCAATGGGTGACGAAATTCAAGGAGCATGTGGACCGCCAACTTTTCGAGATCATCATCCAGGCAGCTGTTGGGCGCAAGGTCGTGGCTCGTGAAACCGTGAAGCCCTATCGGAAGGATGTCCTGGCCAAGCTTCATGCTAGTGATGTCAGTCGACGCCGCAAGCTGTTGGAGAAGCAGAAGGAGGGTCGCAAGAGACTCCGGGCTGTGGGCAATGTGGTAATTGAGCAGAAGGCATTCCAGAATTTCTTGTCGAAATGAGGAGGCAACAGCAGGGTGGGTTTCACAATTCAACTGTACCATAGTTCTCAACCTATAACTTATACCATATATACGTGTTTTGTTCGATTCATGAAATCCATAATGTTTAAATGCAGTAGTACTAATTATACTGTACCTATTTACTGCGGCCGAGTGAAGAATGCCGCAGCGGTATCCGCGCACTGTGATTGGACGGACCGGGGGAAGCTGGCCTCGGACGGAGCTTCCAATTTAACCGCAGAAAAGTTCGTCGTCGCCGACCCCGCCGCCGCAATGGTCTGCAATTTCTCCCCCTCTCCCCTCCCGTCGTCGCCGTCTTTTCTCCGATTCTACCGCAAATCACTGACTGGTCTGAGGTGGCGTGCCGCTTGGTTTGACAGTTTTACTCACGACTACTGCGGTCAATACCTCTTGCGAGCGCACTCATTCCAGTGCCGTCGCATCCATCTCCGCTGAGTCACTGTCATCTTGCCATGATCATCATTTGACCACCGTGATGCAGCCTCCAGAAGGTGTGCAGGTCGACCTGGGCAAGGCCCAGGTCATTGACCGCGTCCCCAAAGTCATCAAGGAACTGAAGTTCGGTGTCCTGTAAGTAATCTTTGGGGTTTTCAACTCCTTCCTGTCTTCCTCCCCCGCTTCGTCTTCCCTGTGTCGCGGAAGTAACCTGGAGAGGGGATGCTGACTCTGTCTTGCGAAGGTCCAACGACGACATCGTCAGCCAAGGTGTGGTGGAAGTTTCCGACCGGAAATTCTTCGATCTCGAACATGACCGAGCCGTAGTCGCCAATGGCCCCCTCGACGCGCGCATGGGTATTTCGAACAAGACCTCGACATGCCAAACCTGTGGTGGCGCCCTCCAGGTCTGTAACGGACACTTCGGTCACGTCAGACTCGTCCTGCCTTCCTTCCACGTCGGTTACTTCAAGCGAGTCATTACCATTCTCCAGGAAATCTGCAAAGAATGCTCCCACATCCTCCTCCCCGAAGCCGATCGCCGTGCCTTCCTCCGCGAAATGCGTCGCCCCGGCCTGGACAACTTGCGACGGATGCAGATTGCGAAGCGCATCAACGAGCGGTGCAAGAAGACCCGCAACTGCGAGCACTGCGGTGCCGTGAACGGTGTGGTCAAGAAGGCCGGTACCAGCGCGCTGAAGATTACCCACGACAAATTCCGTGCCTTCAACGCCTCGACTTCCGTCAAGAAGGTGCCCCCGCCCAGCAAGATTGTCTTTGACCGGTCTTTCGACGAAGCGCGTACATCAAATGCCGAGGTCGAAAAGCATTACAAGAAGGCCCAGGATGATATGAACGCCCTGCGCGTGCTGAACCTGTTTAAGAAAATTTCCGATACGGATTGTGAATTGCTGGGTCTAGACCCGAAGGAGGCTAGACCAGAGATGTTTCTCTGGCAGTTCATCCCTGCTCCTCCAGTCTGTATCCGTCCCTCCGTTGGTCAAGACGCGGCCTCGACTGAGGACGATTTGACTGCCAAGTTGGGAGATATTGTCCAGAGTAACATTAACCTCAAGAATGCGCTGCTGAAGGGTGCGCCAGTGCAGACCATCATGGAGTGTTGGGACTACATGCAGCTGCAGATTGCCGTGTACATCAACAGTGACGTTCCGGGTTTGAACAAGGCAGATTTGGGAAAGCCCATTCGCGGTTTTGTACAGCGCTTGAAGGGAAAACAGGGTCGTTTCCGTGGTAATTTGTCTGGAAAGCGTGTCGACTTCTCCGGCCGTACGGTCATTTCTCCCGATCCTAACTTGCGCGTCGACGAGGTCGCTGTTCCTGAGCTTGTGGCGAAGAACATGACCTACCCGGAAGTCGTGACTCGCTACAACAAGGAGAAGCTGCAGCAGAGAGTCCGGAACGGAACGAAGAAGTGGCCTGGAGCGAACTATATCACCAAGAAGGGTCAGACGTTCAAGCTTTTCCTCAAGTATGGTAACTTGAACATGATCGCCGACCAGCTCCAGGAGGGAGATGTTATCGAGCGTCATATTGAGGATGGTGATATTGTTCTGTTCAACCGCCAACCGTCCCTGCACAAACTCAGTATCCTTTCCCACTTTGCGAAAGTCCGCCCGCACCGGACTTTCCGTCTCAACGAGTGTGTCTGCAACCCTTACAACGCTGATTTCGACGGTGACGAGATGAACTTGCACGTTCCCCAGACGGAAGAAGCGCGCGCTGAAGCCATGGAACTCATGGGTGTCAAGAACAACTTGGCCACACCCAAGAACGGAGAGCCTATTATTTCTGCTATCCAGGATTTCATCAGTGCTGCTTACGTCCTCAGTAGCAAGGACAACTTCTTCGATCGTCGCTCGTTCACCCAGATCTGTCTTTACATGCTTGGTCCTCAAACCCGCTTCGATCTTCCCCCACCCTCCGTGCTGAAACCCCAGATGTTGTGGACTGGAAAGCAAGTCTTCAATATCCTCATGCGCCCGAACAAGGATGACCCATGCTTGGTCAACCTGGATGCCGCTTGCAGAGAGTTCAAGATGCCGAAGGATGGTAGACCCAAGGATCTCGACCCCAAGGATGGTTGGCTCGTCATTCGTAATTCCGAGGTCATGTGTGGTGTGATGGATAAGTCCACTATCGGTTCCGGAAAGAAGGACAACGTGTTCTACATCATGCTGAGAGATTACGGTCCAGCGGCGGCTGCCGAGGGTATGAACCGCTTGTCAAAATTGTCGGCCCGTTGGTTTACAAACATGGGCTTCTCCATCGGTATCACCGACGTATATCCCAGCGAGAAGCTGTTGCGCTCGAAACACGACTTGGTCGAGACTGCATACGCAGCCTGTGACGAGGTCATTGCCAAGTACAAGGCTGGCACACTTGAGAAGTATCCTGGTTGTGACGAGTTGCAAACCATGGAGAACCAGCTGTCTGGTATTCTCAGTAAGGTCCGTCAACAGGCTGGTGACGAGTGTATCGCTCAACTGAGCAAGTACAACTCTCCTCTGATCATGGCCACGTCCGGATCGAAGGGTTCTAGCATCAACGTGTCTCAGATGGTTGCCCTTGTCGGTCAGCAGATTATTGGTGGCCAACGTGTGCAGGACGGCTTCCAAGACCGAACCTTGCCTCATTTCCCGAAGAATGCCCGTCAGCCTCCATCGAAGGGTTTCGTGCGGAACAGTTTCTTCTCGGGTCTCACCCCTACGGAGTTCATCTTCCACGCCATGTCCGGTCGTGAAGGTCTGGTCGATACTGCCGTCAAGACGGCCGAAACCGGTTACATGTCTCGTCGGTTGATGAAATCCCTGGAAGATCTTTCCACCAGGTACGATGATACCGTCCGCAACTCGTCCGCAGCGATTGTCCAGTTCCAGTATGGTGACGACAAGCTGGATCCGGTGGATATGGAGGGCAAGGCCAAGCCCGTTCACTTTGACCGGACTTTCATCCATTCAGAATCCATCACTTATTCGAATGACGAGCCGAGTCTGCTTCCTGCTGAAATCATGGAAGTCTGCGAGGAGATGCTGTCGAAAGAATGTGCCAAGCTGGTACGGAAGGATTTGATGGGCAACACTCTGGCTTACATGGACCGCAGTGACCACGGCATTGACCAATTTGAGAGTGCCCGTGATTTCCTCGAGTCCATCCAGCAGTACGTTGCGACCAAGGCGGACAAGCTGATTTCTCGCGGTGGTGACATCGATCCCTCTGATGAAAGAAGTCAAAAGGGTCTGAACCACACGGGCAAGCTGACTGAGCGCACCCTGCGGACTTTCATCACTGAGTGCTTGATGAAGTACAAGAAGGCTCAGGTTGAAGCCGGCCATGCTGTTGGTGCCGTCGGTGCGCAGTCTATCGGTGAGCCCGGTACGCAGATGACGTTGAAGACTTTCCACTTTGCTGGTGTCGCCGGTATGAGTATCACTCAGGGTGTCCCCCGTATTAAGGAAATCATCAACGCCTCCAAGGAGATCAGTACGCCTGTCGTTGCTTGCGAGCTGGTCACCAAGGACAACATCATTGCCGCCCGTATTGTCAAGGGTCGTATTGAGCAGACGTATCTTCGCGACATTATCCACTACGTTCGCGAGACATGGACTGGCAAGGAAGCTTACATCACCGTCAAGATCAACTGGAAGACTATCCAGGATCTGGCGCTGGAGCTGAAGATCGAGAACATTCTGGCTGCGATCAAGAACCACAAGCGATTCAAGGCGGACGATCTCAAGTTCCGATGCTCGCGCTCACACATCCACGTCTACATGGATGTTGAGCCGTCTAGCAAAGCATCTCTATCCAAAACCGAGATTGCGCACACGAGTGCGGATCCTTTCCTGCGGTTGAAGCATCTGAAGCGGATGCTCCCTGATATCCAGGTGCTTGGTCACCCCCAGGCCTACCGTGCGATTATCCGAACGGATGAGACGTCGACCACCAACACCCTTCTGGTGGAAGGCTACGGGTTGAGAGCGTGTATGACCACGATGGGTGTAGACGGTCTTCGCACGACTACCAACAACATCATGGAGACGCGCGAAGTGCTCGGTATTGAAGCGGCCCGGTCGACGATCGTCCAGGAAATCAGCGAGGTCATGAAGGACATGGACATTGATCCCCGACACATGCAGCTTCTGGCCGACGTCATGACCTACAAGGGTGAAGTTCTGGGTATTACGCGATTCGGTCTCGCCAAGATGCGTGACTCGGTCCTGCAGCTGGCGTCCTTCGAAAAGACCGCCGACCATCTGTTCGATGCCGGTGGTGCCGGCCGGACGGATCTGATCGAGGGTGTGTCCGAGTGTATCATCATGGGCAAGACGGTGTCGCTGGGTACCGGTGCGATGGAAGTTGTACGCAAGATGAACTTCTTCGAGGGCCAGATTGGGCCGAGGAAGACGACGTTCGAAGACGCGTGGACGGATGTCTACGAGGCACCTCAGGAGCGGGCGCGAGCGAAGCGCAAGGCGCGGGCTTGAGGCCGGGAAGGGGCTTGTATAAAAGGGATTTGATTCTGGACACGGAAAAGTCGGTCGCATACCAGGCGTTTAGTAGTGTACTGTACAGTCATGATTTAGCGATTACCGCGAGGTAGGCGGCTGTCTTGTATTTTACGAGCAGACGAAAGACGATTCAATGAGTCTGAATAAGATATCATGGATGCTTGCTTGATGTGGGGCGTATGAGTGTAGTGAGTGAAGCAGTAGCAATCTTGAGAGTCAACAGCATAACAACATAGATCGTCTACATGAGTAGTAAGTCTTCAACTGTAGCTGACAGCCAAATGCGGACAGCGCTTAATAACCGCGGCGGGAGGAAAGGCCCCGCCAGAACTTTTCGCATCGCCGTTCGTTCCTCTTCTGCCACTGTCTATACAACCTCAACCTACCTTAACCTTTTTCTTAACCACCAACTCGTCTCAATTGACCAACCCACCTGCCTGTGCACATTGTGTCATCCTCTTCACCATCCGACGAACCCACCGAATCCGACCTCCTTCCCACCGATCAAGAACAACCAAGATGACCGAAGAATACCAACCCCCACCTCTCCCCCCGCCCTTCCACCACCACCACCAACACCGCACACAATCACCAGCTACTACTACTACCACCACCACCACCACCACCACTACTACCACAAGAACGCCACCCCCACCGATCCTCCTCACGCAGGGCGCCGAAGCCCACCTCTACAAGACCCACTACCTGAACGCGAGCACCCACCCGGCGGCGCTGAAGATCCGGCCCTCGAAACCCTACCGCCACCCGGTCCTGGACCGGCGCCTGACGCGCCAGCGCATCCTCCAGGAAGCCCGGTGTCTGGCCAAGCTCGTGCGCGAGGGGGTGGCGGTGCCGGCGCTGTACGCGGTGGACTGGGAGGGGCAGACGGTGGTGGTGGACGCGGCCACGGGCGAGGAGCGGTACGGCGGGGCGTGGCTGCTGATGGAGTGGGTGGAGGGCGATGTGGTGCGGGTGGTGGTGCAGGCGTGGGAGCGGGCGATGCTGGCGCGGTTCGCGGCGGACGATCGCAGCCCTTCGTCTCGGCGGAGACAGGCCGATGGGGGGTCTGGGTCTGGGTCTGGGTCAGAGGTGCAAATGGAGGTGGATGGCGATGGCGATGGCGACCACGGGCACGTGGAGCGCAAGCGCGAGGAGGAGCGGATGAAGGACCTGCTGCGGCGGATTGGGGCCGCCGTTGGCCGGTTGCATGCGGCCGGGGTGATCCATGGGGATTTGACGACGAGTAATCTCATTCTGAGGCCTGCGTCATCCAAGAAGGAGGGCGAGGGCGAGGGCGAGGGCGAGGTGGATCTGGAGGGCGAGGTCGTGCTCATCGATTTCGGCCTCGCGAGTCAGAGTGTCCAGGATGAGGATCGCGCGGTGGATCTGTATGTGCTTGAACGCGCGTTTGGGAGTACCCATCCCCGCACGGAGGCGTTCTTCGCCGAGGTGTTGGACGGGTATCGCGCTAGTTATCGCGGGGCGGCGTCGGTCTTGAAGCGTTTGGAGGAGGTGCGTTTGCGCGGGAGGAAGAAGAGTATGTTGGGCTGAGGCTTGAAAAGGGGACCGGGGGGGGGACTGGTTTGAAGGGGATAGATTAATGGATAGAACTATGCCAATATCATCACTAAATTTCAAGGAAGTACACAAAAAAAGAAAGAAAGAAACGCCGCGCTGCCCCATGCAAATCGTGGAATGCTTGCAGATCACAATATCATCACACACATCACGGCTTGACGCAGCTGCCCACGTCCGCCAGTGCAAAGTAGCCCTTGTTCTCCACCACCCCGCGATCCTTCACCACCGCCGTGTACTTGACCACCCACTGCGGCGCCACGTCGCCCTGGATGCCATCGTCCGCGTCCGGCGCCGAGGCGAGGATGCCCGCGCCCTTGGCGCCGGGCCCCAGCAGCTCCCGGGTCGTGCCCACGGGCAGGATGTCCATGCAGTCGTTGTGCGTCAGCAGCTGGATCCGCTCCTGCTTGGCGTACAGGATCAACGACTTGGGCACCACGCAGCAGTCCTTGAGGTTGATCTGATCCACCGACGGCTTGACCTTGGTATGCGGCAGGAAGCGCGCCAGCCGCTCGCTGCCAAACTCCGCCACGCCCAGCTGCTTGATCATCCCCTGCGCCTGCAGCCCCTCCAGCGTCCGCCACGTCTGGACAATACTGTCGAAATCATCCTCCTCGCTGCCGGCATCCGACGACCCGGCGGCCCCGTCCGCGTCCGCATCCTCGTCCTCGTCCTCCTCCACCTCGCTATCATCATCCGCGTCGAACAAGATCCCCGGAAACGAGACAATCAGCAGATCGATCGAGTCGACGTGCAGCTCCCGGAGCACGAGGTCGATCGCCTCCCGCGTGTGCGCGCACCGCCGCGACGCCGGGATCCCCGGCAGGTAGAAGAGTTTGACGGTGATGTCGTACGCCGACCGCTCCTCCGACAGCCCGTACCCGAACTCCGTGGATGGGATGTATAGGGCGTCATCGTGTTGTTTCGTCCACGATGCGTAGCGCGGTGCTCCCTGCTCTGTTTTCGCTGTCGTTGTCGCCGTCGCCGTCGCCGTCGTCGGGGCCCCGTCGCTGCGCTGTTGCTGCGCGGCTTGGAAGTTGGCACGCAGGGAGTTGATCAGTTCGACATTGGACTTTTCGGTCAGTTGACGGATGATGGGATGGCCGCCTAGCATCAGATTTCTGGGAGTGTGTTAGTATGATTGGCTTGGTGGACTGGGATACTGGTTTTTTTTTTTTCGTTGTCTTTGTTCCCCCGAGCGATCGCCGGGATCACGACCGGGATGGAGGTGGAATGGGGAGGAGGAGGGAGTGCCGGGATTTCCACTGGGGTCGCCACTTACGAGGTGGAGAGGATTAGTTTCATGGTGATTTGATCTCTGAGCACCCTGCAATATGTGCAGGGCAGACGATTCGGATGCAAGGGGGGTGGGAGTCAGAGGGGAATGAGAACTTGGAAGGATTGGGAGAATTGCGAAGAGGGTAGAGGAAGATAACGGACGAATGTGGATGAATTGCTAAGCAGCCAAACCCCGCGCCGCGGGGTCAAATTCTGGACAGCGGCCCTTTTTCCGATCGGCGATTTCGACTCGGCCCGCCCGCTCATTTACATCTACATCTACATTTGCATATCCTCATTCACTCTCTTGTTTGTCCAGTACATCGTTGACGGTAATCACCTCAGCCTTGTCTCTCATTGTCTATAGACCATTCTTCTGCCAGGCATACAGCTGTCTAATCATAATCCACCGTCGGATCCCAGTCCGTGGGCGAGTAGACCCCCGTCTGCAATGCCTTCATATCCTCCTCCGACAGCTCGAAATCGAACACCTCCGCATTCTCCTTGATCCGACTGGGTGTCACCGACTTGGGGAGGGGGACAAAGCCCTACAGATGACATGTTAGAACCAACTCGAGCGGGGTACGTGGCAAAGATAGACGAGACTCGTTCCACGACTTACCCTTTGCAAACCCCACCGGATCATGATCTGCGCCGGCGACTTGCCATGCTTCTGGCCCAATTCCTTGAGTACTCGCTCGCCCATCCTCGTCCCGTGCGCCAGAGGCGAATAGGCTTGAACGACGATGTTGCGCTTCTGGAGCCACGCGGCGATCTCGGGGCGGTCACACCAGGGATGCAACTCGTACTGGCCGACGTCGATCTGCCCGCCGCCACCATTCTTGATGTACTCCTCCAGCTCGTCCAGATGGTGGACCCCGTAGTTGGACACCCCGATGGATTTCGTCTTGCCCGCTTGCTGGGCTTCCACCAGCGCTCGCCAGGAGCCTAGACGGTCTTCTTTGCCGCCGTAAGGGGCGTGAATAAGGATGCTGGTCAGCGTTGTTAGTTTTTCTTAGTTTTTCTTTTCTTTTCTTTTCTTTTTCCGCTGCAGTGTCCCGCAATGCCAGCGAGACTTGGTCGAGGGGATGGTGGTGTAGGGACAACTCACAGGTCAAAGTACTCCTGCTCCGCTTCGCGCAGACTGGAGTCAATAGCCTTCTTGGTGCGAGTGTAGCCCATCTTCTCCGGGGGGATTTTGGTCGTGAAGAAGATCTCCGACCGGTCGAGGCCGGAATTTGCGATGGCGCGGCCGCAGGCTTTCTCGTTGCGGTACATGATTGCCGAGTCCACCTGTAAGGATGCGTGTTAGATTGAGCTCTTGGGCGCGAGAAGGGTGGAGAAAAGAGGCATGCATACATGACGGTAGCCGATTTTGAGAGCTTCAAGGGTGGCCTTTTCCGTTTGGGACTGGGGGCTTTGGCAGAATGAGCCACTGCGGCATTTGCATGCAAGCGAAGCAGGAATTGACTTACATCATGTAGACCTGTCTGCATTTAGTGATGTTGTGGAGGTGCGTGAGGGGGCGGGCGAAGACTTACTCCATATCCTAGAACGGGAATCTCGTGGCCGGAGTTCAGGCGGTAGGTTGAGCGTAAACCTTTGAGGGCTGCCATTGTCGACGAAGGAGGCAGTGGATCTGAGCGGTTAGTGAGTGGGAAAAGGCAATGCGAGGAGGGGAAGTCACTCACTTATATACGTGCACACTGAGGGAGAAGAGGGGAGCGGAGGCGTGATGATCTCATACTGCTGCTGTGGGTCGGCTGATTCACTCCTCCGATGGTTCTTTCTTCTCATGATCATTGCTTTTGTGTATGCATTTACATTACCAGTAAAACCACTTCTAGAATAAGTCAATCGGTTCTCTTATAAATGGCTCAACTGCGATGCACTACTTTTGGCCAGTACATCATGAACGCTCTCTCGACGGAAACCTACCCCGCCTCCCATTGATGCTACCGTCGATGCTGTATTGGCACCAACAGAGCACAATGGCTAGAACTATGAACTAAATTTGGGTCCTGGTTTTGTTTACGGGCTAGGCATACCAGTGAGTCTCATCCTCTTGCTATTTTGCCACATACAAACAGTTGCAGATACAAATTGCTCTCTTAATGCGCGCCCGTTTGTGCGTGCTATTTGTGCGTGCTATACCCAGCGCAGAAAGCTGGAGATGCATGTTAGTCGCAACTTTGCACCTGTAATAGCCCTTCTTTACCCCGCATCTTATCTACTGGTCGTTGAGACAAATACTAGGAAACAGCGCAGCATTCGAATTGCTAGTTCCTGCACAACGATTGTTCTAGTCTGCTGTCGCTGAGTCCTCACTTGGACAGGTTCCTGTTCAACATTTCTCTACGTAATCGAAGGTTGAACATCGCAGATGGAGAAGAGAAGATGATGCACTGACTTCGATCTACTCTGACTAACATACAATCCGGGAGGCAGATCTAGGTCTCCATAGGAAACTTGCTTCTGATAGCCCGCCTGAAGATCTTTATGGACAGATCCCCCAGAAGGCTACCCGGAGTGCCTCGGAGCTACAGTAATTGGGTGTGTGCTGCTTGCTTCTTCCATGACGGAAAAGCCGCGTGGCTGATTACATGGCCTTCTCTCTTGAAAGCGGTGTTGGAAGCTTTCCCTCTATGCAGAATCAGTTATACAGACGGATCCAGAAGACTCCTGACACCTCAAGAGTTGAAATCCGTCATGGATTACTAAGTGATTGAACTACTCTTGTTCCTGCTCTAGGACAATCGGGACCTTTTGACGCAGAGAGCGAGGACCTATCTACTCTCCAACTAGAGGCGTTCGCAGATATCACTTTAGATTTCAGCTGCGCAAGCCATCATACCAAAGAACATCGGAGAGCCATTTATCCCCCACCGGTAATTTTCTCGTCTCGTATGATTCATGACGCTCGTCAACAGCCGGGAGCGGATCGCCGTAGAGACTGTCACCTGCTGGCGGGCTCCTCTTGGTCTCAATCTCCATATTCCCAGAAATGGTCAATATCCATCCCCGGCGCCAGAGGTTTTACCGGATCATCATAGTAGCCGAAGATGGCCCCAATAGGGTCATCTTGACAATTCCTCCGATGGGATTCTGCAGCCGTTGGCATCCGAGCCGGCAAAGTAGGGGTATCGTCAGCGTTTGTCTCATCGGGCTTTGCACGCTTGTTGGACGGGGTCGGAGAGGGTGTCCTAGCACGCTTGTTTCCTTGTGGGGTTGGCGTTTTCAAAACTTGTCTTCTGAGACCAGGCTGCTCTTCACCAGCCTGCTTCCTCTTCCATCTCTGTTGAGCAGCCTTGGAGAGTCGCTTTCGCCAACGTCTCCTGGCATAGGATGTAAGGTATTCGAGGCAGGACTCACGGTCATTGCTGTAGGCGTGGGTGACGAAGTCCGGCAGCCGCTCGATGTTGGCCTGTATGCAGAAGCGGAAGTCGTCATCACCAGGAATAGAGTCCATTGCTGCCTTCAAGCCCAGTGTGTTCTCTAGTGCTTTGTCCGTTCGGGCTCTCACCTTGTTCCGGCCGCCCTCGTCTCCGCCGGGGATGTTCCTGTGAACGTCCGCAAGCGTAATCGACTCGGTCTGCTTTTCTGGCCCCATAGCTTCCAAGGTTGGTTGGGCGGCGTTTTCAAAGCAGAGAAGGGAATGTAAAGTAGAGGCCGTGGTCGGATGAGGAACTGTACTGAATGACCAGGATACTAACAAGAAAGCTGGGAGAGGGACGTCCTGGAGAACAAAGTCCGGCGGTTGACAACTGGAGGACGGAAAGGCAGGCAGCCTCTCGACAGGTCTCGCCCGGACTTTCTGACAGAGTTCGAGTGAATAAGGAACGAGCTGATATCAAAGAGGCAACGAACCAGACACCCTTTCCCACCTCTGCCTTCCAGGTGGTGATTGCTACGCAAGATATCAGCCATGTAGGTCAGGTCACCAGTACTGTACATACGACCACAGGGTGTGGAAAACAGGGCTTTCCGTCCGCTCAGCTGTACTTAAGCCATATATTAACCGCGCTAGGATGGGGAAGTGTGACTTTGGCAATTGTCCTACAAGAAATCATTCGTCAAAGATTGGAACTTTGGAGTACATTTTGCCCGCCACGTTCAAAATGAGCCCCAACGATACATCAAAAGTACTTTGTCTTTGTCTTTGTCTATACTCCGGTACGTGACCCGACTAGACTCCTCCCAGTCAGCTCTACCTACTCTACCAGAAAGCTACAGACAGTACAGTCTACGTACTCACTCAAGTCTTCTCCCATAGGTCTCAGTTCAGCTTATCCGGTCAAGCTGCAAAGAAACGAATTATGAGTCACATCGAGACTTTTGAAATATGGGAGGGACCTTTGCATCACTACAGTCAAGAAAAAAGCAACCATTGGCCAACAAGGTCCTACACTAGATCTGTCGACATCCAACCTTGAATGAATCAACCCTCCAAACGCTGGTAGTGCAGCATATTTGGGGGAGTCTGAAAACCTATTGAAAATACGTTAAGGCCTAGGCTCCGAGTCCGGGGTTGGAGGTCCGCTCTGGAAATCTCCACTGCCCGTCGCCCCACCTCCACAAAATGGTAGTCGGCTTACTTCAAAAGTTCAAGCTCTCTTTCTTGAAACCCAAACAAATGACACAGACGCGTATATACTACCTTATTTACTCACTACTGTATCTATCACTCGCTTCTGCCTTCGGTGAAAGCCTCCAAGGCTTCCGACTTGCGGGTATGTGAGGATGGCAGGCCACTCCACGTGATTCGCTCTTGGTATTCGATCCGTTTCGCTCGCGTTTTCCGCCTCTTCTCCGAGCCTCGTGATTCTTGCACTCCAGGCGCCCTGGCACCAGTCAAAGCTTCGCTCATACCATGTGGAGGCAGCGCTCGTCTCTATGTAGTTCTCGATTGACTTCCGGACCTTTGCATGCAAAGTTCCCATCTCACAGGGTTCTAGCTGCTATCAGTCGCACTCCTAATGCGGCGTTGGTGCACCCGAGCCGAGCGTCTTACCGAACAATATCGATGAGAGAGTCCGCAGGGAAACCAGAAGATCTCTTTCGCTATACGTCAGGTCGATGGCTCGTTGACGAAAAGGCCCAACAGCAGCTGCGTTATGTAAATTTCGACCTCGAAAGTCTTTGTCGCCGAGCTGCAGCATATTTCAGTGATGCAACGAGGTGTATTCGCGTAGTCAAGCTGGAGGGAAACTTCAACAAAGCGTTACTTCTCACTATGGATGATGGCAACGAGGTCATCGCAAAAATCCCGTGTCCCAATGCCGGCCCACCATCAATAACCACGGCTTCAGAAGTTGCCACTCTGAAGTTTCGTATGTTTGGCGTGCTTTCCTTTATTCGCGTCGGCGTGTGCTTACACTTTTCCTTTTCTAGTGCGGTCAAGGACGTCTATTCCGGTCCCAGAAATTATCGCCTGGAGCTCTGACCCTGCTAATTCGGTTGGTGCCGAATTCATTATCATGGAAAGGACCAGGGGTGTTGCCTTGTCAGAGACATGGGAGGCAATGGACACCTTGGAGCGCTACAAAATTATCGATCAGGTTGTACAAGTCGAGCAGGAGCTTGCCAATATCTCATTTCCAGCATACGGAAGTCTTTTTCCCCGTGACTCGTTGCCTGCAACATGTCGACGGTATCCACTTCCTCCAGAGCTTGACCCTGAAGAGCTATTTTGCATTGGACCGTCTTGTAATCGAACATGGTGGCACGGCAATCCCGCTGACCAATCTCAATCAGTCTCAAAAGATATAGGCCCTTGTAGGTATTCCTGCATCTGTGCTAGGCCACTGACATGTAACGAACGATACTGATATCTCGTAGGGACGCACTTTCCAGAATATGCGTCGTCGATTGTCCAGCGCGAGCTTGCTCTTATTGCAAGTTCGGAGACCGAGGTGCAACTTCAACTACATCATTTCGACGAATCACAGTCGGTCGATGAATATCGAAGCCTTCTGGAAAAAATGAACATGGTACTACCGATCTTGTCTCAAGACCCACGCGTGACAAGTGCTTCAGACCCTGTTCTATGGCACACAGACTTACATCTGGGGAACATTTTTGTCTCTCCTCATGAGCCCAGTGTCATTGAAGGGATTATCGATTGGCAATCGTCTCAGATCTGTCCTGTCCTTTGCTCATACAAGCTCGATTCCCCGAGTTTCTCAGGCCACCGAAGGACTACACTTTCGGTCCCGTCGTACCCGGCTTACCGGATGGCTTCGACGACCTTAGTCCCGAGCAAAAGGAACAGGCTATCAACAACAAGAAGTTGGCTTCGTCGTCGAAATACTACGAGATGTCCAGCCTTGCACATAACCGGCGTGTCTACAATGCTATGAAACTCGACTCCAGGTTATGGCAGCCCTTCACCTACTGCCAGCTATTCTCCCATGGTAGTCTGGTGCCCCTGCGCCATTGTTTGATCCGTTTATCCCAGGACTGGTCCTTACTGGAGCTCCCAGGCAGCTGCCCCTTCCAGATATCAGAAACTAAACGTCGAAGGCACGATGAACAGAAATTGCAATATGAGGATAGGCTCTATCTGTGTGACCTCGTGAAGAACCAGCTTCTCACCGGTGATGCCGGCTGGGTTCCGCATGACCGCTGGGAAGCGACAGCAAAGGCAAACAGGGAGCTGTACGATTTGTATATTGAAACAATGAGCGAAGAGGTCATGCCTGAGGCAGCTGCGAAGAACTGGCCTTTTCCACCACCGGAATCCCCCACCTGTTAGACTACAGGGGTGATAATTTCGCACGTAGGAAGGAATGACATGGGAACACGCAAGTCCGCGCCTGCTGTCGACGGCGATGGACGTATTCTGGCTTGCATGTAATATCGTGAAGCTGCAACTCGATTGCTCTGCTGCTGTAGTCTCGGTGTCTCAGCGTCATTACGGATTCCCCTGAATCCTCTTATCTCCCTCAGATTCATCTCCTCAACCAGGTCTTAAACTTCCCCCGCAGATCGGAATAGGTACTAGCTGAAGTCCCCGCACACTGCGTCTATAGCTGCATAAATGCAAAACAGACAGTATACTGTACTGTACATACTAGTCAGGTATACACCAGATGGTCCACGTTAAACTCACATGCATAATGCAAGTCAAACTTGACATGTACATAGTACATGCATACATCAAGCTACTCATGCACCTCAACCTAAATACTAGGACACCAAGACGTCCCGGGGGAGAACCCCCGGACCTCCCTTTCTTTCAACTTCCTGGCCCAACTCGACCTAAATACTAGGAGACTAAGACGTCCCGGGGGAGGACCCCGGATCCCCCTTCCTTTCAACTTCCTGGCCCAACTCAACCTAAGTACTACGAGTAAACAATTCCAACTCCAGCCAACGCAACCTCCACGAAAAACAACCACAGAAAAGAAAAACCATAAATTACTATAAAACTACAAAGATATCATAACTCATAACCCCTCCCCCGAAAAACCCAGGGCCCTCAAGCGCGGCGCTCAATATCCGCCTCGGCGCCGCGCTGCCGCACCTTGCCGGAGTCGTGGATCTCCTTGGCGCGCTGCTCCTGCGCCTCGTCGCCGGTGACCGCGGCCGCGACCTTGCCGACGCCGCCCTCGACGCGGCCCTTGACGCCCTCGCCCCAGTCCTTCAGCTGGCCCTCCGCCTCCTGCTGCTTGCCCGCGGCGTTCTGGTCCTGCCCGGCGCGGCGCAGCGACTCGTTGCCCACCAGGTTGCCCAGCGACTCCTTGGCCGCGCCCACCGTCTGGTCCCAGCTGCCCTCCGTGCGCTTGGGGTGGTCCGTCGCCGTCGCCCCCGTCGCCGGGTCCGCCGTCACCGGGCCCAGCTTCGCCGTCGTGTGGCTCGCTTCGTTCTCGGCCTTGCCCTGCTGGTGGGTGGCTTCGCCTTGGTTCTGTGGCGGACTTAGTATTTTCATCCCAAAAAAAAAGAATGGGGGAAGGGGGAATGGGGGGAGGGGGCAGGGGAATGTACCTGAGTCGAGGCGTCGCCGGTCAGGGAGCCGATGGCGCGCTGGGCGGCGCCCGTGGCCTGGTCGAGGTACGACTTGAGAGTGGAGGAGTTTTCGTTGGACATTTTGGTTGGTTGGATATTGGGTTCGTGGAATGGAGTAGAGGTAGGTGTTTTGTTTGGATTGTAGAAGATGTAGTAGTGGTGACTGCTTGTGGTTTGTTTGTGTTGGTGTTGTTGTTGATGAAACGAAGGTGACGGTGATGTTTTTATAAGGCTTCATCTGGGGTAAAACC